AGTGACTTGGAAGAAATAAAGGGAACTTTCAAATCTTCTCTCTCAATCTTTTCCAGTAACAAAGCTGTTTCTGAAATTTCTAAACTTGCTTCCAATTTTCTTCATATAAATGATGAAGAAAATAATGTTAATAATATGATTAGTAATGATAGAAATTATAATGACGGTGATGATTATGAAGATGATGATGAAGAAGAAGAAGTTGCTGGTGTTAATGATGAAGTGATTGAGTTTGCTCAACAGATTTCTAATCGCCCTGAACTTTGGACTGAATTTCCTTTATCACTTGATCATGGTAAAATGTTATTTTTTTAATTTTATTTTTTTTAATTTTTATTTCCTTTTTTGGGTTTTTAGTTGAATTTGTTGGTTTTGGGTTTGAGATTGTGATTGGCAATTTGGCATATTGATATAATCTATAGTTTTATGACTATTGATGTGAAGTTGTGATCTACAAATTTCCTCCTTTTTTTTTTCCCCCTTTTGGGCATTTCTGCTTGAATTTGATGGTGATCTTCATTTCGAAAATGGTGTTAGATTTGTATATTCGTGGGATTGAGATTGCGTTGTTGGTGGCCGTAGTTGTGATGCAATTTAGAGTGATTTTTGTACAATCACTAGAACATGGACATGTTAGTGATGAAATTGTGGCATGTAAGTAGTGTTTGTAATTGTGACTTTAAAGGATAGTAGTTATCTGAAGAATTTGTAGTAGTGTTCCATTTAGGACCCAAGAGTTCGATATGAGTATATGTTTTAATGGTAAATTTGAGAAGGATGATGTCTGTCATTTGGACGGTGGCCATAAAACCTTTTGTTCTTTTGAGGTTTCAGTGTGTTTACTGCCTCAATTTGTATGTTGTGGTTGAGATGGATTGTTGTGTAGCATTGCCTATGTTTTAACTTTACAATCTTTGGTTTCATTCTTATTTCATAAATGTATGACAATCTTAGGTATTTGTTTGGGGGGTAACTATGAGCTAATTTTAGTAGCAAAAACAACTAGCAACCACCTAGCTCGACTGTCTTTAAAGTCTTTTAGATACTCTCATCTTAACTTGTCAGCTAGTTGGGATGATACAGTTGTTTGGAGGATTTTGGAAATTCATGTCCAACATAGTTTGTTTGTTTTTTTTTTTTGTTTTGTTTTGTTTTTTTTTTTTGGTTTAGCTGTTAATGATTGATGCTAAAAAGATGATGCTCTATTAACAGTGGCTATGGATCAATTTAAGACCTTTTGTTTATGCTTGTATCCGTATTCTTCTATGGTTTATTTTTACTAAGGTGTAAGTGAAATACATTCTAGATTGGAAAAAGTTGTTGGTGATGATGCAGGTTTAATTACAGATTACCTGAATGAACTTGCAGATCACTCTGAACTGTATATTAACATTTGTTTCCTAATAGTGAAATTTAGTGATCAAGAGATGTTTTTTTTTTTTTTTAAAAAAAAATTGTTTTTTTTTTTTTAAATTTATAAGATTTCGTCTTTTCTAGTGCATATTGACTTAGTGTAATTGCACTTTCTAATGTACTTCGTAAATCTCAAAATGAGCAGTCGATATGTCTGTTATAAGATTTATGATGACAATCTTCTACTTGTAACTGTTTTGTGACTTTTTGACCTTCTGTGTTCTGCCATATTTTGCAATTTTCCTTGTGTTGTCCTCAGCTTTGTTTTGTGCTATTTGCAGAGTTTGATATGTCTGAAGCTCAGTATGAGCATGCCTCAACTGTTGAGCAGTTGGTTCCAAGTCTTGCTGAACTTAAAAGCCAGATCAGCAGTGACAAAAGGGAGAAGCAGTTTTGGATGATATATTTTATTTTGTTGCATCCAAGGTTAAATAATGATGAGGACCTAGAGCTTCTATCAACTCCTGAGGCAAGAATTACATTTCCTTTTTTTCCTTCAATCATATACAGTGGGGGGCTTTATCTGTTATTTTTGCCTTTTCTCACATTTGATTGTTTGTAATTTGGCTTGTGACACTGCACCTTTAGACTATCCTGGATATGAACTGACTTGCTGATCCATGCCTCGCTTATCCTCATTCTTTTTCTTTCTTCCTTGAAATATTAAACTAGCTACTTTGTCTGCTGAAACATCTGAAAAGATGAATGCGTTGCATCATAGCAATGTTTAATATGGATTTTCATCTCTGCTGCCCCCTCCCTTTCTTCATTGTTTTCTTTCACGTGCAAATTATTATTTTAACCCTTACATTCTGTTTGGTAGGCACTAATAAATAATGGTGATGGTTTTGTGTTTAATTGTTTATATGCAACTTTGTAAAGGTAGTCCATAAGTTCATAACAATGTCTATGTCAGTCTTTTATTCTCTTAGTATGTGAGTTATTCATATATGCCACTGTCAGATTGGTAATGAGCAATTATTAAAGTTTACAAAGGTAAATGAATTGATGGGGATACTTTGGGATTGTTATTGTATTGTTATGGACTTTGGTGTGTGACTTTTCTTGCAAATTACACACAAGTTCATTTCCTGTTATTAGTACTGTGCTTGGTAAATTTGGTATGGAATATTGACAATTCCTCTCTTTTGTTGTATTCTGAGGATTTGAGAGCGAAACTTTTGTGAAAAAAACAATATGAAGAAGTGTTACATAATGAGGTTTTGACTATATTTGGCATAACGTGTTTTTATTGTTTACATAAGACTATAAGGGAGTGTTGGAGATTATGAAGCCAAAGATTCTTATTGATGTATGTAACAAGACTAATTTCACCTGCAGATTGTTGAAGCAAGAGAGACACTGCTGACAATGCTTCAAGCTAAGAAGAGCAAGGATATTAGTTCTGAAAATCCCCAATCAGGTAGCTCCAACAATGAAGGTGACATACCAATGATCAATAGCCAATCTGCTGAAGATGTAACAACGTCAGAGAATTCAAACGCGTCAGAAAGTGTAAAAGGCACAGAATCAAACAACAGCAAGAAGATCCTAGAAGCAGAGGATGGGTGCAGTTTTAGCTTTAATGATCATAACGAATCTGATGCTAAGCCTGATAAGTGGGAAGAAAAGGAAAAATCTGTTTCTATAGGAACTTCTGCAGCTGCTCCGAAGCAATTTCAAAGTGAAGATGATGTCTCTTTCAGTGATCTTGAAGATGATGATAATGATCTCCCTAATAGATTATCAAGCTCAGGGCCATCACAGTCAAAGGGAACTTCATCACCAGAAGGGTCCAATGAATGGGTTCGATTGAATGAAAATGTGGAAGTCAGAGGCAGCGAGGTTAAAGGCCACTCTACTTTGCGAGATAGAGATTCAGAGGGTGAGGATTCAACTGGCTGGCTTACTGTTGATGATTTCGATCCTTGATAGTTTGACCAATGTCCTGTGGATCCTTGTAAAGCCTTAAATTTGTTTTTCCCCCTCTTTCTTTCATCAGTGCACTTGTGGTATATGAAAAATCTCGCTTTTAATGATCTTATATAAATTAAAGATGAAGTATGCCATATTGCCGTGTTTCCCAGTTCTCTGTTTTTGCTGATGGTTCTGCATTGTTTTGTTTGCCTAATTGCATATAGATGGTTACTTCGTATGTTGGACGTCGCCCAAAGTTGTTTGTCAATTCAGCCAGAAAGAATTTGTTCATTCTAAATTATACCCTTGTGATATGCATCTAAATTTTTACAGTAAGCATTATAGTATCCCAGTTTTAAAATCAGGCAGTTCTCACGATGTAATTGGTAAAAACCAAAACCCCTACCCTCATATCTAGTCTAATATTTCCTCGGTTTACTTTTTAGATGGAACTTCTTAAACTTTTTAAACTTACACTATTCTCACACTAAATCACTATCTTGGTTATCTTTTCATTAAAAAAAGATAATCACCTGGGGTTTTGTTAGATTAATACTTTTATTCATATTGTTTTTGAAACAAATACTTTTATATATTTTGAACAAGTACAATTTAAAATACAGAGTATTTAACTTTTCAATAATATATTTTCTCTTTTCCTTTTTACTTGTACTGTACCATAGTTTCATGCTTATCCAATTATTTAATACAAAATTCTTAGTATTGTATTTGAGATTTTTGTTATCAATAACTAGATACTAAATCAATAACTAGATACTAAAGGCGAAGCCTGGAGTGACACTTGTCATTTCTTGGTTAAAAATTTATTCAACTTTTTTTTTTTTTTGGTCATATTTTAATGACATTCATTTTATAACCTATAATAATTGTTATTTTCATTTTGAAAACGTATTTAATCCAATAATACTCTTTTTTTTTTTTTACATATATTTTATATACTTGGAAACTTTTAGTTACAAAAATACTAACATAGATTAAAAATAAGGTATTGTAATATATTATTTTCAAAGATTATTATAATATTATCAATATCAATTTTTTTTTTCTCCAACTTTTATCATTTGACAATAAAATTATTTTAATTAAAAAAGAAACATAACGTTTATTAGAACAAAATCATTTTGTTATAGTATACATAACATATATTGGAAAATTTAATCTAATTACTTTAAATATTAATGTGATTATTTAAAAAATAAAAACCCCTACTACTCACTAAAAATATATTTAAAAAATTGATTACGGAATACTAATTATTCTAAAGTAAAATAAAATCAACTAAATTTTCATATTATGCCAATCAAAATGTGTCAACAATTTAAGGATAAATGTATATGAATTCGTATATGAGTACTAACCTAAGCTAATATTTTAATTTTCTTATATAAAACCTTATAGCTTTTAAATTTTTTATACAATCCAATTCAATAACCTTTACGTATTTGATATTGGTATAAACTAAAATTCAAGTTATTTTGTTACAAATAATTTTTTTAGATAAATTATTGTTGAATTAATATCATTATTTATAATTTATTTGTTGTAAAATTTAATTATAACCGTGCATGGCACGGGACTTAACCTAGTTCCTTGAATAAATGTAACTATTTATTTAAACAGTTTAAGAAGCATTTCTGTGTCTATGGTTATGCAGCCAAATCCGTATGATATAGATGTTACATATACTAGTAAAAATTTCTCCTTGCAACCAAACAATGGAGTTGAGAATAGTGCATGAGCTGATGTCAGCAAACTAGCATTGAGACTAGCCTTTCAAAGTACAGAAATTTACTGGCTGGAAAATTAATTTCTATCTTATTTACACAACTTAAAAACTACTTTCAGTTTCTGCTCAAACTATATTCTATCTCCATATCTAGGCATCTCTCTACAAAGTTATAAATACCTTCTATTGCTCTCTCCAACCACCTTAGAAAACACCTGAAAGTCATGGCCTGGTACTCCGAATATGGGGATGGATAGGATTCGTCATACCAGGCTGATCAAAACAAGGCCTAAAAGCAGGACTTGGTGCGAAACCCGGAGGAAAGGAGGGATTCTGATGGATGGCACCATTGTTTGTGGGCTTATCAATGTATGGTGGAGGATGAGGGGCAGGAGGGAAATTTGTGTCTCCAAATTGCATCTGGGTTGATTGAGCAACTGGATTATGATGCATGAAATTATTAGCAGCTTGGTATGGGTTATTAACTGGAGGTGGGGGGACACGAGGGCCAAGATACTCTCTCTCGTTGAACTGCATCTGGGATGATAAAGCAGCTGGATTGTTGTCTCTAAAATGCATCTGGCTCAATGGTGCAGCTGGACTATGATGCATGAGATTATTGGTAGCTGGGTTACCAATTGGAGGAGGTGGGGGAGCATGAGGGGCAGAACGGCACTCTCTCTCGTTGAAATGAATCTGGGATGATATAGCAGCCGGATTCTTGTCTCTGAATTGCATCTGAGTCGCTGGTGCAGCAGGACTATGATGCATGAAATTATTGGTTGCTGGAATACCAACTGGAGGAGGTGGGGGAACATGAGGGGTAGAACAGTAGTCTCTCTCTTTGAACTGCATCTGGGATGATTTAGCAGTGGAAATATCATGCAAGAAACCATTGGAACCTGGATTAGGAAGATGAGGGGCAGTTGGGTGACTTTTGCTTTCTAGCTGCATATGGGTCAATGGAGGAGGAGGTGGAGGTGGAGGAAGGGGGAACAGACAACCAGAAGCTAAATTTGCGAACCCTGAACCAGCAACTTTGGGTTTGCTAAAAGAAAACGAGGATCCTGTCTTTTTATTTGCTTCTTCCCTCTTCTTCAAGAAATCTGGTGGGCACCATTCAGGCATATCTTCATCGTCGAAAAGGTTTCTTGGCTTCGAACCAGCAGCACCCTTCTCCATTGGTTTCTGCTCCTGTACAGACAAACTAGGAATCTTTGTTTCAGATTGCTGCCCCATGTTTAGTGGAGCTGATCCATGAGATTGTCCAGTTTGGTTCTGGTCTTGTGTTGGGAAGCTTGGTTTATGTGCTTCAGAATATTGATTTGTATTCTGCAGAACTAGTCCTTGATAAAGGAAATGTTGCTGTCCCATGTTTTGTAGGGCTGGTCCTTGAAAATTCCCAATTTGATTATGTTCTTGAGTTGAGGGGAAGCTTTGGTTTGGCGCTTCAGAATATTTCTCAACACCTTGTTGAAATTGAGAATCTGGCACCGAAACAGAAACAGTTGAGCATTCTGAATTCATTTCAATTGACTTCAATTCAGCAGAAGTGGGTGCAGCAACAGCTGAAGTATTGTTCACTAGAGCCTGAGAAACTGTAGCTCTAAAATCAAATTCAGGTAGATCATCATCGTCAGAAATATCTGCAGGTTGTTTTGAGGACACTGGAGGCATAGGTGGAATAGGGTTATTTGGTTCCACATCAGTATTAAACTCTGATAACTTGCTAGAGGCACCACTGACAGAGGTCAAGTTTTCAGTGACTATAGTCTGCTTAGCTTGATTGACTTGAGGGGAGGGCAAAAGCTCCGGACTATTGTCTCTTCTGCTATTCTGCACACCTTCAATCAGAATCTGACTTTTTTCAGATGTTGCAACTTCCTTAGAAGTCTGACCTAATGGTGGGGCATTACCCTCTGCTGTTTTTGTGGCAGGAGCAGATGAGTTTTTCTTCCACACAGCACAACCAATAAGCGGATCAGATTTGTCTTTAATAGCAGCCATTCCCTTGAAGAAGCCGTGTTTTGCTAGAATAGTGATTATTGCGTCACTATGAGGACAAATATAGAGATCAACATCAGTAGACAACTTTGCAAATCCAACCCTCTTTCCTTCTTTATATTTCTTTGCAACCTGTTACAAAAGATAAACTCAGAAATTCTGAAGTAATTTGTAAATGTCACTTATGGATCTAACTGGAAAATTGTTACCTCCTTCATGCCTTTATGTCCAGCATCCGATGAACCTTCCTTACAGCAAAGAGACATCACCTGGACACAGAATTTTAGATCGTTTAAACTTACAGCAATGAAAGGACATGAATATGATTTAAGTAAACCTTCATCTACTTGTTGCATACAATTTGACCTCGAATCAAAGAACCATTAAGCATTCAGAAGGTAGAGAAGGGCAGAAGGCACATAGTAGGATTTTTTTTTATATACAAAGAATTAAGGGAGCGTTTGCTATAGATATTGAAAATGGAGTGGAAAGGAAACAAATAAAAGGGAGGAAAAGAATTATTTAACACTTACCTTTCTATTTGTTTGGTTTAACCATGGAAAGGAATCACTTAATCATAACTTCTTTTCTTTTTGTTTGAGGAAGGTAAGGGTAATTGTTACCTTAGGTTATACAGAGGTAACAAATAGTGGAAACCATTACCCCTAGGTAATGGTAATTGTTACCTAAAGCTTCTAATCAAACACTTAGTAATGATAATAGTTGAATTGAATCCATTCCCACCCCAAAAAATACTCTAACCAAACATGCTCTAAGTCCAATTTAGAAACTTCTCAATCTCCAAGACTAGCTTGCAAGGATTTGACTCATGTTTTTCTCTTACCAATTTATCATGCATCTTGACTCTTACAGGAAGAAAGAAATACAACTGTGAATGCAAAATGAATCTCTGAGGTTACATCTTGTATGTAAATTTGATCGACTAGATTCTAAACCTATGCAGCTGCTAGCAGCCTATCAATACTATCCATGTAAGTTCAGAAGCTAATAATATCAGTTATAAACCTTGGAGAGGCATAATAAGTTCACGCTCCCAACATTGCTTTATGGAAGGTCAAGCATGGGAATGGCTCAGGCATTTCCTTTGTCAAAAAGATTTGTGTACTCGTGTTATTTTAATAAAGTGTCAAGTGCAGGATTCAATTGTGAAATGTCAATCCACCCCACTAGAGTTTTAAATTTTGGACTATCTTTAACAATACTGTAATAAGTTAGATTGCAGTCTCGAGAAAAGAGAAACTATTTGCCCCTAGTAAACTAATTCAAAAATGGTTTACCCCATTGAAGCGAAACAAAGCACGGTGTATTTTAGAATCTCTCCCACCAAGCAATATTATAAAAAGAGAAAAAGGAAACTATAATTCCCTGATGTAACTAATTTTCTATCAGTAATTGCCTTTTTGTGCCAAGATAAACTGGAGAACATCATAAGAATTGTCTAGTCACTTTGAGGAAGCATACAAGTACCCATTGTGGGCAGCAACAATGCAGTGAGACATATTGACACAAACATCAGCATTTAACTTCATTTTATGCAACAGACGAAATCTACTAATACTGAAATTTCTCAAGTCCCTCAGTTCTTGTCAATATTGCCCCGTGCATTCGAAGCAATACCAACACATATCAACGTCATGAATATTTTTTGGATAATCAAAATGCTTAAAACTGTAAGTAGATATTAAGGCTGTTTTGTTGAAAAGGAGATTCCGCTATCCTCCAAATAAAATTCAGTTTTTTTTTTTTTTTTTTTTTTTTTTTTTTTTTTTTTTGTAAAAAAATTCAATGCAAAAAACTTTATATTGGGATGTGATTCTCCAAGAAAAATATTAAACTTCTTTGTGACAATCTGCATATCAATGAATTTTCGGGGGATAAAAAATAATGCAATAGAAAATCAATCTTCTGCTTGACAGTGAAGCCTTATATTTCATAATAATTTGATTACAGAAAATTCATAGAGGACTGCCCAAGTGCCCATCTTTGCACTGAAGGCTGCTGAGCAGGAGAAAGAAATTAACGAGACTTTTAGTCCCCAAAAACAGCTAGTCACAAGCCAAGCTGCTCGTAAACAACGCAAATTAGGCTCAATGAACCTCAAGTTGGCTCCCCCAGCACGTCAACAGAGGCAAGCTCAAGCTCAAGCTTGTGATTTTGACTTGTTTATTACAAGCGTTATCATGATGTTCGATTGACACTCGTGAGCCACAATAAACACTGGTATAGGCTATAGGAATGAAATGGACAAAGATGACCACTTCGTTCAAAATAGCTAAAGAGCATTAAGGCAATAACATAACAAAATGGTCTCATTCGCTAAATACACATTGCATCGTTTAAACACTCAACACCAACATAAAATCAATAAGGCTTGACTGATGATCTTTGATGATGGGAGACATCAATAAGATTTTATTGTTTCCTACTGCAATATAAATTATGTCTATGCTATTTCATTGGTCTTGATCGATAAATATTAGATTGGGCAATGTTTAGCATATTTTCAGCATCTAAAGCTGTTTCATAATTTGATCAGTAAGATGATAATTTCAAATGTTTGGTAAAAGATAGTTTCAAATAAACATACTACAACACCAAGCTTTGATAAGGTTTGCATCTCCCAACCTTGAGTTGTGGGATTAAATCCCCACTAGAGGCACTTTGGGGTGGGAATTCCCTTATCCTTCCCTCCACTCCCAAAGTGTCTAGCTCGCTAACCGGACCGGGAGGGCATGTGAGAGGATCCGGCCCAGTAGGCCCTTCTCCTTACCAACCCAAAAGAAAAAAAAAAAAAAAAAAAAAAAAACTGCAGCACAACTGCAGATTACTCAAAGTGTTTTGGTCAATTTACGAATAGAAATAACAATATCCCACATTGCTACACTGAATTTGATTACAGAACTCCTCAACAAGACTCGGGATTGAGCTCCATGAGTACAGATTAAATTACGGAACGGCTTTTGTGCTGCAGATAATAGTTTGTATGGTTATAGTACTTATAGGCTTGTTTTCAGTGTTTGATTTTATATTTCCAAAGTCTAATCTCTTACGGCAATTTCTACTATCTGAATAATTTACGTATAAGTTGAGCTTTTTCGAGTCAAGCAACCCTGTAAAAAACCTTGAGTTGAGCATGAGTCAAGCCCTGGACTAAATCAAGTTTTGACTGACTCAATCTCAAACAACTCTTGAACCATCTCATCTAACTTAAATTCCCTCAGAAAGTCAGAATTATCCTTATTATAATCCTAGTGAGGCAAGAAGCACCCACCTGCATGGGCTGAATCATAAGACCATCCACACCTATAGCCAAGATATATACATCACCCACAACCTAAGCGTCAAAGGACAAAGTAAAACTTAATACCTATTCTTTCTGGAACTGCTACTTATTTAGTCATTTAACCCCTGTACACAAAAAACTTCCAAAAAAATGGTGACCTTGTGAGAGGAATCTAAATCTACACATGGCGGTAGGTCTCTCACTCTTCATGCCACACTGCATTACCTGAATCCATAATATTACAAGTGGCATTTATTTTGCAGCAGACAGAGCCTTTGAGCTATTATCGCTCACGACTTAGTGAAGCTACTGACTTAAACCAGAATGGAGAAAGCACTTCACCATTCTGTCATTATGTTCTTATTGAATGTTCTCAGAAGGATTTAAAGTTTCATGAAGTTCAACCCTTAATTTCTTTTTCTTATTCTTAGTTTCTTTCTAGGTGAAGATTTTACATCATTTTCATTTATGTTTTACTTTACTTCAATTCAAAAATAAAATAGAGAATATGAAGGTTCATACTACTCTAACAGGCAGACTGAAATAAGTAATCAAGCTACCATTAATGACATTACAGGGTTTCCAGCTGCAGCGTCTCCATTCCTTCCCAGCCCCATAATTTTTTTTTTTTAAGAAAACTGGAAGCATAATAATACTACTTCCATTTATTTTTACTTATTGAACCAAGGTTTTCCTAAAACATGCATTAATGAGATGTTTCTTGGGACCAAGTAGGCCTCCCAATGCCCTTTAGAACCCGGGATACACCTCATGCATAATCTTGCCAGATCAAAAGATCTCCAAAGGCCAAATTTGAAGGCTATAATACACAAATTAAACCCATTTTCGGATTCTTTGGGACTCAATGTCAAAAACTCGAGTAATGATAAGGGATGCAACCAGGGGTCATATGATGTTATTTGAACCATATACAACCACTACTTGGTCACATTAAAGCCCGGAACGGCCTTGAGTTAATAAAAGAAGGTGTGGACGTAACTTGGCTAAATTGATAGTTTAAAAACAAAGTAAACGGTTCCAACCACCAAAATAGCCTCGTAGGGTCTATGGAAAGCATCCTGACCTCTTCCCTTTACGAGCCCGAAAAAGTGAAAATTTGTCCAAAATTGAAGGCATCCACGCTTTTGGTCCAATTTTGGAAAATTTTCAAAAATTGAAGTGAACATAAGGTGTGTCCCTCGAGGTCATATATTATAAATTGGAAGCACCATACACAGATTTCCATTCATTTTTATTTATTGAATCAATGTTTTCCTAAGACATAACAATAAAGGGTGGCCAAGGCATGAATGAGAGTTCTGGACATCAAGTAGGCCTACCAAGGCCCTTTAGGAACCCAGTGAAACACCTCGATGCATAAATATGTTGGGTCAAAAAATGATCTCCAAAGGCCAAATTTAAGGATAATACACAAAATCGGACCATTTTCAGAGATTCCGGGGGAGTTGGTGTTGAAAACTCAAGCTATAATAAGGGATGTACCCTAAGGTCATATAATGTTGCTTGGAACCAGATACGGTCACTAATTAATCACCAAAAGACCCATGGTGGCGGCCTTGAGTCAATCAAAAGGAGGTATGCACGTAGCATGTTAGATAGATAGTTAAAAAGCAAAGTGGACGATTCCAACCACCCAAATGGTCTTTTGGGGTCTCGTAGGACCCTAGGAAGCATCCTGACCTCTTTCCATTACGGCCTAAAAAAGTTAATATTTGTCCAAAATTAAAGACTATAATCCACACTTACGATCCAATTTTGGAATTTTTTTCTGAAATTGAAATGAATGTGGGGGTTGTGTCCAACATATAAACATGCGCTATAATTAGATTTCCATTCATTTTTGTTTATAGAATTATTGTTTTCCTAATACATGGTAAGGAAGAGTGGCCAAGACATAAATGAGATGGTTTAAGGCATCAAGTAGGCATCCCAAGGCCCACCTGGGAAATACCTCAATGCATAATCTTGCCAATCTCTTAAGGCCAAATTTGAAGGATAAATCCACGAAATCGGACCATTTTTAGATATTTTGGGTTTTGGTATCGAAACCAAGTTATCATAGAGGGTGCATACGAGGGCCATATAACGTTGTTTTAAACTACATACAACCACTAGTCGGTTACTAAAAAGCTCACGTGGCCGTGAGTCAATGAAGGGAGGTGCGCACATAACCAACTAATTTATCAGTACACAATTGCACATAGCCAACTAAAGTGACAGTTTAAAGACAATATGGACGGTCCAACAACCACCCAAATGACCTCTCGAGTCCTTATAGGGTCCATGGGAAGCACCGTGTCCTTTTTTTTTGCCCTAAAAATGTCAAAAATTGTCCTGAAGGTTATAGTCCATGCTTTCGGACCGATTTGAAACCTTTTTCTAAATTTGAAGTGAATGGGGTGGGTATTGGTTTGAAGTGAATGTGGTGTCTCTTGGGGTCATATATGTTGGTTTGGAATCATAATAAGCCTACCAATAGGTCTAAAAGTCCCAATAATGAGCTTAATTCAATTATGTGACTATTTTGAAATCTTGTTGTGTTGGCAGTCAAGGGATGATTACAATCACCAACTTGACATCCCAACGTCCTATTAATGTGGCAAGAATTCATCATCAGATTATCAAACCCAAGCCCACCCGTTCATTAGTTATCATTATGTTGTCGATGCATGGGTTATTTATATTATATACTATATAAGTGTTTGTTATTCAACACCATTACTCCCATTGTTGAGTTTGGTTATTTGTTTACAACCGTTCATAATGAAGCTTTGTCAATTAGAATCACAACCAAAAGCATTCAATGACACAAGCTATACGCATTGATATCTATTCTAATATGCACACAAGCAAAATTAACAGCCTTTAAAGCATCAACAATGAGGAAACTGGTGTAGAGGTGGGAAATATATCGTTCGTGCAAATCATGTTTAAATAATCAGCAATTTAATTCAATTTTAGGTCAGCTCAAGTCAGGTAATATATGAATCAATCAGCTTATAATAATAAATCAGTCAATACTAGTCATATTGAACAACGGTTCAGTATGGGGCAATTAAATAAGTGTCAAAATCAAATAATGTAATTTCCATTACAACAAAGGTGATTCAGTTTGTGTCGTGGGGTGCGGTTCAGTATTCATAGCCCTAATCCAATGCAGCAAACAAAAGCTTAAATCTTAAATCACCCTGGACTGTCAAATGCTAAGTTTGTCCTACTGAGATGAATCACTCTTCTAAGTTACAAGAAATCTCCGCACACTCTTCATGAATTACTTTCTTCCTCTTCAACATTCATTGTCGTAACACATATCAAAGAGATGAGGGACAAACTAACATGATAACAGACTAAGGATAGCAGTAATTGAACAATCAACTAAAAACTTTGTTGTAATCCTGAACAAATCATAGCTAACACCAATAGATTTACCATATCATTTGCTCCACAGATGAAACCAACAAGAGCAATTCATTCTTAAGCTTCAGAGAAGGATGAATTAAGGAAAATTATACAAATGAAGATCATTGCATTACAATACCTCAAAGTACCCTTTTAACAATCTCTTCCCCTTACCCCCCCCCCCCCCTCCTCCTCTCAGCCAAAAAAAATTAAAAAACCCCTCTACGTCTCAAATCCTTGCAAAAAAAGGAAAAATGAAAAAGGGTCTTTTGCAATCAGGGAGGGGAAAAAATAGACTTGATATATATCAGACTCCCTTTTTGGGAAAACGGCAATATTAACAGCAATTGAAACAGGCATTTCCTAAGGACTGCGGTAAGCGACATTTGACAGCACCTTTATCATAACACAGTAAAGAATTAAGCACAAGAATATGAAAGCTGCAAATGAGTCGAGTCAAGCCAAGTTTTAATATGATCGAGGTTAAGAATTATTAGTGTTCGAGTTATCTTAAGCTAGAACAAGCTTATAAAGTCTTGTTCTAGCTTGGCACATTAAGATTTTCGCTTGTTCAGGCTTTGTTCACAAACATGCTTAGTTGTATTTCGAGTCTGAACTTGAAATTGAATGAGGTTAAATAGAACTTGATTAAAAATAAACAGGCCTCATGAAAGAATTACTTTAACGTTATAATACTACGTACATCATTTAACTTTTTTTGTCAATCATTCTGTAGGAAAAGGTTATAGATAAACTTTCATGTGTACATTTCACAAAATAATTTTTTAATTACTTTAAATTCATGTATAAGATATATAAAGATGTTCAAATGTTTATTTTCAGATGTCAAAGATTTCTTCAAGTTTGATTGAGCTATAACCAATTACAATTGGACATGAACAAAAACACAAACTGTGTCATTTACTTAGTGAGCTTAAGATTTTTGTTAAAGCTAGTTATATAGTTTATTAACTGAACAAATCTTTGACCGAGATTGTTTGCAAGTAGTTAGTGAATGTATCATCTGATCTGCACCCCTACACGAGATCATGACTGATCACGAGGCAGTTAAGCTCATTAGCCATTACTCATTTAGGGGCCATTTGGTTGGGGGTATTCATCAAAGGGAATGGGAATCAACTACCCTGATTCCCGTTGTTGTTGTTTGTTAGGTCTTTTTCCCCATTCCCTTTACCCTCTCTATTTCCCCAAATCCTTCCAACTTGATTACCCACCCCTCCTAGGTTTTTCCATTCCCTTTCCTTAGCCACCATTACACCACCATACCCACACCAGCCACCACCTTCCTACCCTACCCCCACCACACAGCCGGCGCGCCGCCCCTCGCCACACCTCCCCCGCCCCTCGCCGCCCCCTTGAAAAGCCCTCCCCTCCCCCGAAAAATATCCCCCACCCCCGCAAAACCCTAGAAACCAATCCCCATCCCCCAAAAACGATCGGGTGTCCCTCCCCCAACCCTCGAAACCCTAGCGTACCAGTAAGCAGCAATCACTAAGATGGCGGCAGCAAAGGTTACTTCAATCTCCCACAACGACGGAAAAAGTGAATCCAAAGCCATTTGAACCATCAGTCTCGCCATAAAGTCCATTGGAAAATGAAAAAAAACACGCTGGAAAATCGGAGAAAATCGTTACAAAAAGGGTTTGAAGTGATCAATTTCTAGGGTTTTGCGAAAATGATGAAATTGATGGGCGACGAGGGGTGGGGGAGGGGCGGGGATATGGCTAGATGGTGGGCGAGTGGTGGCTCGGTGGTGGGGTGGCTGGAGAAGGTGGAAAGCAAGGAAATAGGTGGTTGTGTGGTGGTTGGGTTGGAGGCTTTGATTCCCTTTCTTTGTTAAAACAAACAACATAGCAAATTTCAGGGATTTACATTCCATTCTTTTTCTTTCCCTTTGTTCATTACATTCCGTTTACCCTATGCAAACCAAACAACCCCTAATTACATATTTTATTTCTACATCGGTACAACGACTACACTTCTCCAAGTCATAGAACATTATTAAAACATTTCATGAAACTTTATCTTATATAAATGGTTTCAAAAGATAGCTTCATTCCTCAAATTTCCCCTTCATGTCATTAAATAAAAAAAAAAAGGGCGATATTTAACATACAAGAGCATTTAAACTACAAATAGTCTTAAATGAAAGATTATAAGATAGTGGGAAACATCAAGGAAAATGTAGCCTTCCTAGTTTTTTTTCTTTCCCTAAATGTGACAATTTATACAGAATTAAGTGAGTGACAAATTATACGCAACCAAAACAGACCAGGTCAAAAGGCCTAAGGTTAAATTTTTCCTAGCCACAAATTTCAGAGTTCCCTTCATCATCTCCTTAAGCCCCCTATCCCATTAAATTACTCGTCCCATTTGACTTGTTCTCTATACCAAAGTCCATACCCTTATCAGTTATCACCATTAAGGACTACATAAAATTACATTGATTTTATTTTCACTTCTTCTTACTCCCCTCGCAATCTCTTTAAAATGATTTAATAAACAAAGCCATAGATGAAGATCTCGATCTCACTCACACCCTGCTTTGTAGTGAATTCATTAATTTTTGTTTTCCCTTTCCTTCTGCATTCAGATCCACACTATTTTCTTGCTTGAATCTCGTGCTATTCTTCTTTTCCATTGATTTTTGCAGTTACAGTCAAATCCCTATCCATGGAGAATTAAATTTTTTTTTGTATGTAACAAAGCACACAAGCATCATTTAGTTAGTGTGTTTCTAACAAGACCACGCTACTGATGCTCTCTTCCCCTATGGTATTTTCTTCGATATTAGAAGTAATTGACATTGCAGACTATTTAGAGAAAAGAGAGGGGGGGATGGAAGGGAGAATTTGACCTTTGTTTTTCTTCAATATTAAGAGGAATTGGTTTTGTATCAGAAAAAGGAAGTTGTATCCTTCCATAACCCTTCCCTTCCCCAATTTAATCCAAATAGAAATAGGCAATCCATCTCACTCTTTCTTACTTTATTCGTCTTATTCTTACACCTACCTACTTTTAAACATTCTATTACTTTAACCACCTTTTTCTTACATCCATCCCACGTTCCCATTCACCAATTTTCTTAAAATTAGTGCATATAGTAAATGTTAAGATCAATTTGAAACAGAAGTATTTCAAAGATGTAGACAGGAGTTGTAGGTTGTCCGCATGTCTGCACGTGTGTGCCATCGTGGATAATAGAAAATCTGGCATGAAACATAGTCAAGGAACAGGTTTTCACTCAAAATCATGACAAAAACAGGAATTGGAGTATCTGCAAGCTACTTTTGTCGATATGTTCTACAACCAGCAAGCAAAGGCATATAACTACAGTGACAGAAAAGTCGGCTTACCATGAGTCCACGAGAGCGTGAGCGAGGAAGGTCTTGCACATATTTCTCAAAAGCTTCCAATCTAACTTTTCCTCTAACTTCCACAGATTCAGACCAGCTTAAGTCCTGCATCTTCTCTCCACTACAATTTAAAAATCAGCATGTATTAACAGCTATATTTACTGACCCAACCTCATTACAATCAGACTAGCCCAAAGCTGCATCATCTAACATCAATTAGAACAAAGTGATCATCACTCATAACAAAAGTATAGCTTCAGTGGGGCAATAGTCAGTTTCACACAATAAAAAGATAGCCCATTTGAAAGCGAAAAAGAGAATGAAGAAAGGATGCAAGTGGGAAATTATTAATTTCACAATACATATCCCCCAAAAAAGAAAATTCACTAAAATGCGATGACTCGGCGCCTCCCTCCCTCCCTCCCCCCCCCCCCCCCACCACCCTGCCTTCTAGTTCTGGGAGCTGGAGAGTGCACACAGAAGTAAACCAGCCAATCAACAATACAAAACACAGATGCGGTGCCAGGTGACACAAATTGCATCCTTGAAGTATATACCACAAGGTCCACAACTGTTCACAAAAAAAGTAAGCAACTAAACTAGCGTAAAAAAAAAACTAATCTAACTGTCCAATTCAATTAACTTCTAGCAAAAGACTCCTTTTTTCTTAAACAACACACAAAACATCAGCTGAACTTGCACAATATTAGCCTACTCCAATACAATTTCAGCTTATTAAATCTTTAAAATTGTGTATTTAACAATCATGAAAATTAGATATTGTGAAAAATACAATTTCAGCTTATTAAAATTTCTACTCCTTATTAGGAAGGTAAGCCATTTTTTCAGTAAATTATAAGAAAAAAAATTTCTTTGCTATATCATAGAACAGAAGCATTGAATTCCTCAAACTACTCAAAGCACAATGACATCAATAAAAAGGTGAGACCAAAAGTATATAATAACCTTTTGAAGAACGCAACGACAGACACTGAAACAGAGGTACTTAATTTAACGGTGCCATCCCACAACTTCTCAGCAAATGCTGAAGGTCCATTTTCAGACTTGGATTTACTATCTAATTTAGCACAAGCTTTTTCACCAATTGCGGCAGGGTTTTTAAGAACAGGAACATCATCAGGGTTCTTGGACAGGTTTGTATCTGCTGAAAGATGGTTTTGATTCTGAATAGTAGAACCTGATGGTGATTTCATCATTTTAACATCATGCCCGGAGCCTTGAACATTACCATCATCATTATCAGGTAAACCAACACCAGAAGCAGCACTCAAAAGCTTCAAAACATTTAGGAGATTATTAGTTTCATTCTGTAGATTGTAGACAGATGTACTGACATTGTTACCAGACACCTTATTACTGTCAGTTTCACTTTGCTTAACATTAGAGAAAGATCCAACTTTATAAGCTTCAGCACTGTCAAGTCCGGCAAAACCACCAGCATCACCATAGTCTTTGACATTATTAGGACAGTTAACCTTGTAGGTTTCTTCTTCACAATAACCTTTTACATCCAAACCAACGGCTCCAGGCTCCAAAACAGTTTGCGACAATCTTTGTGATTCCCCTGAAATTTTGGATGCTTGTTCATAAAGATCTGGTGCCATAGCCCTTGGCTTAACAGGCGTTTGATGCGCATAGCTCAAAATCTCCTGGGGATGAATAACAATTGACTCCCTTGCCACATGTGCATCTGATTTACAGTTGTTATAGTGATTGAGGTTTTGAGACTCTGAAGGAGGCCCACTTGATTCTTTATGAGTCGCTGCATGTGCATTTGGTTCATAATTCCCATGCTGCCAATTTGATGTATTTTGAGTCACTACAATTGCATTTGACTCACGAATCTCGTGCTGGTAAGAGTCCCGAACAATAGGAGGTTGCCAGTCCAATGTAATAGGAGTCGTAACTTGTGCATGGTTCTGATGCTGGCTAAAGGCTTCAGTCACTACAGGGGACCAATTTGACCCTTTATTAGTAGCCAAATTCAGATTTGGTTCACAATTATTATGTTGGTTAAAATTTTCTGTCCCTGAAGGCAGCAACTTCAATGTTTTACGAGTGCAGCCCTCTGGGAGAGAAAATGAAGGTGAAGGAGCTTTATGATTTGGAGACTTCAACTGCCGTTTTGCTACATAATCACTCTGATCCCAATATTGACTATGATCAGAATAACCCTGTGATGATTCCCTTGGTCCCAAAACAGGGGTAGAACTCTTGGAGTCTGAAATTCCAGAAACGCCATGCATCAAATTTGGGGCAGGAGCAATGATTTGGTGATCAGAGGAAGTTAATTTTCTTTTTCTTGGTGACTCAACCAAACCATCCCTTTTTAATTGCACAGGCAGAAAAGTAAACATGTCTTTGTCATATTGGGCTCCTCGAAATGGTCGTGGTGGACCTGGTGGCTGCATTTTATATGCTTGAAAAATGATCTTCTATTGTCTACAGACTGATTTCGTTTGAGTCATTCATATCCAGCATGAAAAAAATTAATCAATTGTGGAAAATGCCCAATATCATCAACCTTCTGAAAATCAGAACACTGCACAGCACAACATGATTTACAATGCAGTACATCACATACAAACATTAATATAAATGGGCAAAATCTGTAATGGGCACTAACAGCTAAGACAGTGAAGCACCAAGTGCAAAAAAACAGTATATAATACAGAGATGTAAATATGCCTGAAAGAGGATTCACACTATAGTGAAAATCATACATGAAGATCCAAAAAATAAGGAAAAAAGGGGGAAAATTGGAATGTCATAGGTGGAAAAAGATGGCCTCCTTGAGATTTTGACGTATAGCCACAAAAGGCCATATGCAGACATCAGTTGATTAGAAAAAACATAAATACGTTTGAGAAGAACTGAAGAAGAATGAATCCTATGCCTGAGCTCATCACTGTAGAAGACTTATGTATAAGACTGCTTCATTGCACGAACCACGAACTGATTCCAAAGCGAAAGATAACTGGTGGTACATCGTCCTAAGACACTTTTTTTCTACTTCATTCTAAATAAGCCTAAACAATGAATGTTGAGATTGGGGAGGGGGGTGAGGTAGACTTCAAACTACAGTTCATCTTGGTAGTTACTAGTACCCAAAATTAACAGTTAACACTAAGGGTAACACTCAACATCCGAGACACTTCTTGCAAATGAACTTTCAGTTTAAAGGCCACAGGCTCCCAGCAAGGCAGCAACACAGATCATAAAGGAAATCAATAAACCTCCTCCAGACATAAAACACTGCTTATAAAGCCTTGGCCAAACACTAAAGATCAAGAATACCAAAGGTCCTGCCAATAACCCCAAGTTCACAACTGAAGTAAATTAGTCTATAAGTTGAGACTGTAACCCAACTAAAACTCTGGAAATTCCCAGTTCACTTTCCAATCCCTCTGCACATGAACACTCCTAGTCTCCTACAAACCTAGCAATATAGTTTCCGTATTTCCTTTAGCATAACTTCAACCGCACTTCCACTCAATCTCCATAGCGCCGCATTCTCATCAAAAAAGTCAAACCCAGTAATCCAATCATGAATAATAGCCAATTGCTAGGCAGTCTCAAAAGCTAATATCAATTTCCAGCACAAAGATGATCAAATCCCACAAAAGAAGACTGCTTTTAATGGACGAAAAAATGCCATCCTGCAATACATGCTAGAAAACCACATCTATTTTTTCGCCAAATTGACAGCTTTACATTGAATAGAAATAGCATTAAACCCTAAAAAGGCAAAATGCGCATACATAATATATCGCTCCCTAATTCCATTAATCAATTATCCAAGTACCTCACATAGATAGATGTTCACCCCCAATTGTCCAAGTAAAACTCTACGAAACTTCAATCTAATCACAATTCACAGCAATTAGGTAAACGAATAAAAAAATCATTGCCAAAATCAAGATTACTTTCCATTTAACACCTTCTTCAATTCCATCAAAATCAAAACTTCATCATTAACATTGTAAAATAAAGAAATCTTTTAGCGCAAAAACTATTCCCCGCACAAAATTAACCGCAAATAATGTCAGCCAATTCAATAAAACCCTAATTGCAGCATTCATAAATTAGTAAACCAACAGTTTATTGATTAAATAAAGAACAAACCTTGAGAATGTCTTGGATTTGATTTTGCAAATTTCTTGAAAAAGAGCCAAATTTCTGAATTGTATCAATTGCATGTAGCAGCAAAATCACTGAAATTTTGGATTTTTTTTATTTTTTGGGGTGTTGAAGTACTGTAGTAAAGTAGTGACTAGTGAGTGAGAGACTGAGAAGAAAGAGAAAGAGAAGAAGTGCAAAGAAAGAGTGACACACTTCTATGTTGTCAAGAAACTCTTGTGCAGCACACTGGTTGCTGACAATAATGTTGATTGTTTATCAATCGTAACATAACATACTGATTTTGTGTGGCTCGGTCAAAAATTGAAACCGCTTGTTCGTTGTCGTTTTTTGTTTTTTGTTTTTTAAAGTTTGAATTTGCTTTTCTACATTTGGAAAAAAAAAATCACCATAATCTCAATTGAGATTTTTTGGGTTGTTTCACTTATTTTTAGAATTATTGTTGTAAATTATTTAGGATTTTGTGGAGTAAAATTTGAAATTACACATGGCATCATCACGAGAATACAACTACTATTGATTCAAATGTGAAAGTAATTTATCGATTCAAATGTGAAAGTAATCTTTAAGATTACAAAACTTTAAAGTCTTTATTAATTTAATTTAATTTAATTTAATTAAAAAACTTTTGTAATGAACAATGGTTACACAATCATGGGTTAATTGGTTCAGAGCTTCGTCTATCTCAAGATTGGCAAAATCAAAAGTATATTGGTACTGTTACGTCAATAATTCTAAAGCAAAAAACAGTGTCACTTTTACGTCAATTTGGTAGCAATAAAAATGTGCATTGGTATTAAGTTTTGGTACTGATAACACAGCATACTAAGGCTTGTGTTTTGTTCACTTTTAAATTCAGTTATTTCAGGTCTAATAAGTTCAGCTTATGAAAATTAATTCTGATAAGGGTTATTATAGTTCAAATTACAATCAAAATAAGTTTTAATAAGATCTAATAAGTTCGGATAACACATAAGTAAATATTAGGTGAATTAAACACACCATTATTGATATCACTCTTGGACACAAGCCACTCTAGATTTAGACTTGACCACCTTGCCCCCATCAGCTTGCTCTTTAGAAAAAAAAATATTGATAGCCCAATAAGAAAAAGAGAAATATTTATTGCAAGTATTTCATACGAGTACTTTAAAAAAAATAAAACATACAAGCGGTTAGTCAAACTAGTGGAGAGAATGGGCAAATTATTATACTTCGTATTTCATTTTTAAGCATATCAAATTAACTCAACACTTTATTTATTTATTTTTCCATATGTACTAGAGGAGGAGTGGGGGTGACCGGGTGAGTATCGAATCCCGGTCACACGAGGAAATGAGAGGACTAACTATCCCTCCACTCCTTGATCCTCTTATATGTACTCCTATAGTAATTAATTAAAAATTATCAAAACAAATGATATGAATAGCGAGAAAGTAGTTGACAAGAGGTCGTAAAAAGGAGGGAATTAAGTTATTCTTCCATCAACGTATACTCGAAGTAAGTCCTCACCAAGTTTGAAGCATATTTTCCTTCCAAAAAAAAATGTTTGAAGCATATATGATACACGAAGTATGTGGTAATATTGTACATAAGCGTATCGTATGATATTGGTCCCACATGAAAGAGTGAAGTAAAGACAGGGAATGTTTCAAAAAAAAAAAAGTAAAAACAGGGAAAGAAACCAAAATTCCATCTTTCAACGCACATTGCACATATTGACATATACTTGTATATTGAATGAGTGTATGACTAGGAGTCATACTAAAAATACAATGTTCACAATTAACCTCCAACAAAAAACCACGGCGACAGCAAACACCACACCACCCATAGTACACCCAAGAAATTTACATGAAAATAAGAAAGAATTAATGGAGCCTCAAACAACCAGTAAAACCAAAAAAACGAGAAAATGAAAAGGAGGCAACCTAGCATATACACAAATGGAGCAATAATAGTAACAATTTCAGAGCAATAAGTTATACTGTATATGCCATGTTGAGCATCTTAATAAATCGATCATCACCACGAGAAAATTGCAGACAATGTCTCAGCAAGCATTAATCCATCGATGAAGGTGTCTACTTTGATTAAGATAAATAGCAAATGCTTCAGCCACACGCTTAAACACAGGAAGGTAGCAAAGGCCCATGACAAACAAAGGCAAGCACGATGTATATGATGATCAAGAGAACGATAATCAATGTAAACCTGCAAGAATTGAAAAACTCAGATTTAGGTAAGGTTGAAATTTTTCAAGAGGTGCTTAAGCAATGCATCAAAAATAACAAGTAAATAACTTTAGTTGATCATTAGTGCACTAGAGGCTAGACATCCAAATATCCAATTAGAGTAATAAATTCGATTGCATTAATAGGTTAGCCCTCCATATTCTTTACAGATCTAATGTTAAAATATAAAGACAGTTGTATTAGATGAAGCAGTGAAATGTTAGCAGGTCGCAGGAGTGCAGCATTGCATTATATCTTACACATATATAAAAGTCTAGTCAGACACAACCAATGTGCACCACTGATTACCTCTTAGGTTTCTTCACAACCAGTGCAAACATAAACAGCATATTTGCAGGGTGAAACATAATTTTGAAAGAAAAAAAAAAAGATCAAATTTCACATTAGTTTACTCACATGAGCCTGCAATTTCTCCACCATACAGTGCTTCTGAAGCGGCGAGCTTGCTTTCTGAAGCGAAGAGTATTGCCTTGTAATGTGGCAGTTTTATCAACAAGCAGCTCCAGGCGCTCCCCTCTATCCAAAACTTTATCAATATTCTCAATCATGACATTTCGCACCTACAATTGTTGCACCAAAATGAGACAGACATTATAGTAACATCAACACAAGAAAATTGCTTCACCAAACAACAGCTTGCAGGCATGTACTTCACTATTCCTAGGAAAAATAAACAAAACTATCAAACTAAGAACCCTGATCCCTTGCTGCAAAGAAGCACATGATCTATCAAAAATTCTATTACTAACTTTTCATGATGGAAACCTCAACCGTGCAATGGTTTCAAAGATAATGCCTCAATCTCCAAAGTAAAAATGAGAAGAAGACAACAATATAATGTTGGACTACCCAATATAAAAAAGAATAGCTAGGAATACACGCCATACCTGAGCCATTTCACCTTTCATTCTGTTCAAACTGTCAGCATTTGGGTCATTTGAGAAATAGTCCATTTGTTGGCCTAAGACCCTCGAAAATTCATCATTCATTGCATATGCAGGTGCAGTATGAATAGAGCGTCCATAAGCCTTCACAAACTTTTGATGTATGTCTTCAAGAAATGCAAATGGGATTCTTCCTATACAACAAAGTTAAGGTGTATCAGAATAGAGGGAAAAGAAACCCTTACATTATGCTTTACACATGAAATATCAACATATCATGAGCCAATTTTTGGACAAATATCATCAGCATTTTAACACTCAACGAAAGATAAAAGATCCTGCATAATGCCTATAGCATTCATTAACTCTAGGTTCACCATTCACCAACACCGTATTCTATTATTTGGGAATTATCTCTACATTTCAGGTAGCCTGACCATGCAGAGACTCCTGCATCAGTCACCACTAATTTGCAACAAAGTAACAGTACACACATCTATATAATAAACTCTTTCAAATACTCAATCAAAATTACACAAAAAATGATTCTGTCAACCAATTTCTTAAACAACAACAATATTTTCAACCTCCTTAAATCAACAAGCAGAGAAAAATTTTCAACCTTGATCAATCATCATGACTTTACTTCGTTCTCACTCCTACCTGGAAAATCAAACCACCATACCTTCCTTACACTTTACCTTTACTATAATCTCACAGTTAAAATCTAATAGAACAAATAAAAGCGGCAAAGTTTATCCTCATGCCATCATGGGCATGCTCCCCTTTGCTTACTAACACATATGGTCTTTCTCTTACCAACCCAAACCTAGTACAAAACACAAGTATCTTGACTAGTTTAGCTCAAAATCCACTAATCTGCTAGCAAAGAGCTTTCTAAACCATAAAGATAAATGTCACATTCACAACTTTCCTTAGTAAGGGAAAAAAACTTTTAAAAAGCTGTCTTGCTCCCTCTCTTAAATCCTAATAGGGTTATCGAGGAAAATCCAATCATAAACCAAGAATGTATAAAAAGAAAAAATGACAACTTTTTCCGAACATTCAAGACATAACATTTTCGCAATTAATTCCGGGATCAAGGGAATACAATCCATCATCTGCAACTAAAGACCTCAAAATCAAGCTCTTACACAGAACATTCATCTCGCAATCAAATTCTTCATGATTCATTATCAACGCAATGCATAAGCAGCAATCAATAACAAATTAACAATCACAATTTCACAAACAACACAAAAACCCTAACATTTAACACAATCAAATCAAATCAATCAATAGAACAAAAAACCCTAAACCAATCAAAATCAAAAGAAGAGAGAAAAATCAATTACGTCCAGCATTATCTTCCGCCATACAAAGAACAGTAAGACCATCGGTACGCTTAACATGGAAAATATATCGATCTTGCGAGTAAGAAACATGAGTATCGCTATCACCAGGAATCTTCTCGAGAATTTGCTTCGCAATTGAGCTTGCATTCGTCGATGTTCCAACAAATTCCGCCAAAACTACCGATCCTCGAGCTACCAAAGCATACAAAATCGCCATTAATGGTGGAATTTGAAACCCTAAATTTCTCTCTCCTCTGATTTCGCAATATTTTGATCGGCGAAACAGGGGAGAAGATTGAAAATTGTTGATGATGATGATGATAATAATTGAGAAAAAAGAGGTCTTTTTCTCAAATTTAAAAAAAAATAATAATATAATAATAATTTTAAAAAAAAAATTAATCAATGATGAAAATAATGGGCGTTTACTTTTTGTGAATTTTGAAAAAAAGTTTCCACTTTTTTGGGGGAATTGAGATGACAAGTGTGACAGACTGACAGTGAGAATTACTTTTTATTTTAGTTTGAATTCATCTAATTTAAGTAGTAATTATTCTTCTTAATCTTTTTTATAATGATAATTAAGTGTGCTGTTGTGGGATTTATTAATAACTCTACATTAAATTGATGTCAGCTGTCGTGGATTGGTCGGGTAGTCGGATTGGAAAATTATAATAATGCATTAGTATCATCATATTGTGAGGGAAATCGTGTAGCAGGTTGAGTGTCATAGAAGGTTGAATAGGCAAGCAGAAATCTTTAAGTGTCATTCGAGTCATTCTAATCGATTTCAGGTTGGATTTGGAGTTCTAGATGGACTAGTTATTAACTTATTAGAAGCATTTTTCATCGAATAAGTTCAGATATAAGGTCAAATCATGTATAGTTATTTTGGGTAATGTTTGTGTTTCGCAACGAATGTTTCTAGTTCAATAATTGAGTATGAGTCAATTTTGCCAAATTTTTACTTGTGCCAATATCAAAACTTAGAAACATCTTAGGAATATTTCAATTGACCTAAAGTTAATGCAAGTTTTTAATCAAGTATTATAGGGGTATGTAAGGAAATCCTCACCGGAGGTCGGCGCTTGAGAGTTGAGAGTATAAGGGGGAAGGGAATCCCCCTACTCCCAAACATTTTTGTAGTTAGTGGGGCTCGTACTTGTGACCTTGAAGTCACAAAGTGAGTTCCCCACCAATTCCACTAAACTTTGTTTGGTACTTACTTGTAGCATTTGTATAAAAAGAAAGAAATATACAATATTGTCTTTATACACAAATACTACATGAATAGAAGCATGTAATATTGTCTTTATATTAAGCGTATAAACCTTTGGCACCCTCAAACAGACATGGAGTTTAGTATTGTCTTTGGAGTCAATCTCTTCATGTAATTTGTGTATTGCAGCATCAATACTAAACTCTATGTTTGTATTAAAAAAAGGATTATTGTTATGGGCATAAGGGAGAGAAACAAATATTTGTTGATGGTAAAGGTTAAGGGGTCATTTGGTTGGACCTTTTGGAATGGAGTTTAAATTCATTCCACCCAATTTATTGTTTGGCTAAACTTTTTAAGTACGGAATAATAGCATACCAAGAGGGTTCTAATTCCACCACATCCCCTTATAATCTCATACCCACCTCTCTCCCAATATTTACATTCCATTCTATTATGAAATGTAAAATCCATTCCAACTTATGAACCAAACAACTTCAAATTACATGGAATTTAGAATCCATTCCTCTCAAGTATGAGCCAATCCATTCCAATTTAACGAACCAAACGACCCCTTAGTTTAATGTGTAGGTAGTTTATATAGTTATTTGCAATTAGGGTTTTGTTGTATTTGGATTATAACGTACCCGAGCTTAGACTGTTAATCATCGTATACGAGTCAATGTAATTTTATACGGTTGGGTCCTACAAGTCTATAGTTTTGGAACTTTGGTATTATAATATTTTGGGTCTTTGACTCTTTGCAAATGCATATTTTGGGTCTTTAAATTTTCAAATGGTATTTTGGGTCTTTGACTCTTTGGGATGAGAAAGGTTTTAAAGGAGTAAAACACAAATACAATCCATGTACTTTTGTATTTGTATACTTTTAGTCACCGAAAATTCATTTGTGCATTTTTAATCCCTCAACCACCACTTTTAGTCACTAAAAAGGTTAAACTATAAAGTACAAGCTGAGCTGAACTCATATCAGCTAAGTTATAGTCCGTACTTTGTATTTTTTTTGTTTTTTCTTTTGAGTGACAGTTAAGCTATATCTAAACGAGATACATTAGGCAGTTTCCAAAACCCCAAACCTCATCTTATTATTCCCTCCTCTGCGAAGAATTCTCTTATTATTTAGAGCTAAGTATAAAGTTGGTTTAAGTTTTTCACCCTTTGGGACCTCCCACTTTTTTTTAACCTTTTGGGACCTGTAGTTAACATTCCGGTCACTTAACTCATGTTCAACTCACCGGAGAAAAAGTGAGTCCCTTAAAAAGGTGTTTGTTTAGGGGGATAAAAGGGGTGGGAGTAGGATAAAAAATAAGGATAGAAGAAATGTAGTGTTTGTTTAGAGGGATTGGGATTAGAAGGGAGTTAGGGATAGGGATAAAAATACTCACTTATCTGATGTGAATCGAGTCCCTTTTCTTATAACTATTTTTATTGCTTTATTTAGGTACTCTCTTAGTTTTACCTTACTCTTAAAGTAGGGGTTTTTAATAATGTTTTTATTATTTTCTTAATAGTAGTTATGGAGTCTTGGGCTTCCAAAGTTGTGTTAATTAATTAGTGGGCTCTTTTGGTTCATTAATTAATTATTAGGACTTTTTATTTAGTTTGCTTACAAACCAAGTAGGTTAGATTTATTTTTCCTATATATATTTGATACATGTCAACAATTATAGTTGGATGTTTATGAAATAAAAATCAGATTGTTGAGTTTTAACTCAAGAGAACTTTGTTAAGGTTTGAACTAGTTGTTAACTAGGGTTTTAGGATCATTACTCCTAAGATCAAACTTAGAAGTCGTTGCCTTCTAAGACTATCCTTCAAATTTCCATCATTAAAATTACTCAAATCCTTCCACTAAATATAAACTGTCAAAAATACGCATCATTATCCCTCCATTTCTATAATTAAGGGGGGTGGTATAAGGGAAAGGGATAAGAAATGGGTATTAAAAGACCAAATTACCCTTAATGAAATTGAAAGGGTAAGAAGAAAGGGTAGAAGTTAGTAAGGGTATTTTTATAAATTTATTACTTATCCCTAATTTGTTTCCCATACTTACCAAACATGGGATAAAAATAATTTATCCTTGTCCCACTTATCAATCTCTTATCTTTAGGGATTTGTTAAACATCGCCCACAAATTACTACATAAAGCCCACAAAATTCACTTAGTTTCCCAAAATTGCCCTTGACCTTAAAAAAAAACACTCACACTCTCATCACTCACACTCTCATCACTCACACTCTCATTGCTCATCTTCTTTCAACCTCTCTAAAAAAAAAAAATTCAAAATAACGGCAATGTCGAGGCGGCAAGGCAAGGAAGTGGCGGCGGCGGCGGAGGGAAGGATGTCCCAAGGAGGAAAGGTATATTTTGTTTAAAAAAAAAAAAGGGGAAAACCGCCGTGAACGCGGTGGGGCGCCCTGGCTGGACGCCCAGCCGGCGGTGGTGGCGCCAGATGCAGACGCCGCCACCAGTTGGTTGGCGCCTGGGCTGGACGCCACCGCCACGGTTGTGGCGTTTAGTCTAGGCGCCGCAGCCGTGGCTGTGGCGTCCAGCCCAGGCGCCAGCCAACTGGTGGCGGCGTCTGCATCTGGCGCCACCACCGCCGGCTGGGCGTCCAGCCAAGGCGCCCCCCCCCCCCATTTTTATTTTTTTTATTTTTTTTTTAATTTTTTTAAAAAATTGTTTTTAATTTTTTTTTTTTTTTTGTAATATAATTTTGAATTGTTTTTATATTTTGTTGTTTATTTTTATAAATTTTTTCAATTTCGTTGTATTTTTTCTACGTTTATATTTTGTTTACAATTATTTGTATGTTTTTAGTGTATTTGATTTGCGATGATGATTATTTATCGTATAAATTTTTGTATGTTTATATATTTTAAAATTTTGTGTAGGGTCGTCATGGTGGGGGGAAGAATATAGAGCTTCTTAGTAGAAGTTATTCAGTGGAGAGGTCGGGGCATAGACATGTCAGATCCCGTGGTATTTCGGCCTCAGTTCGTAGAGAACGGATCCACCGTCGGGATGAGGATGACGATGACGATGATGATGCTGAGGAGGGTGACCAGGAGGAGGAGCAGGAGGAGGGCGCAGATGAGGATGAGGATGTGGACGATGGCAGTGGACCGTATGATGATTACGGTCCATTCAGAGGGTTGATGACATGTACGAGACGCATATGGTGGAGGTGCGTAAGGGTAGGGGTGGTAGGTTTGTTAGTAGATCTGGCACATCATCTGCGTCCACTGTATCTGGGGCAAGCAGGAAACGGTCGAGGGCGGGTAATGATTCTTGGGTTGTTAGGAGTGAGGTGCCCGGTGGGCCTGTTGACGGGAGTGTGATTCCTAGCTTTCTAGGACACATAGCTGCCCGTATTTGGGAGGACCAGGAGAGGCCTTCAGTTACGGGGTTGTTGAAATGTCATACCCGGGAAAAGACTTGTAGTTTTTTGCGTACATGGGCTGAGGCCTGGCCGGCGGAGAGCGAGATTTTCGAGCGACTGGAGGGCACTGGGGTGAAGCACGTTCCTGCCACCATGCACGATAAGATTGACAGTACGCTGATCACGACTTTCATTGAGCGATGGCAGCCGGATACAAACTCTTTTCACCTTCCGTTCGGTGAGATGACGATCATGTTACATGACGTCGAGGCCATTCTGGGGATTCGTGTTGAGGGTCTGGAACAGACCCTTGCGCAGTGGGAGTCGTCGTCGAGGAGGGATTACTGATGGTTATTGTATTTTATTTATAGAGCATTATGTTGGACATTATGTTGTAAAATTGTAACATTTTAGATTGTTCTTTTAGCTTCCAACTTAAACATATTATCAGTGCTGTTTTTAAATTTTGATATAACCGTTCGTGGATCCGCGCAACTTACCCATGCAACATATAGAATGCAGTAAGCAATACAATATAAAATATTAATGTTCTCATTAAAAGAGCAACATACAAATAAGATTACAAATAAAGAATGTAAACAAGAAAAACTAAAATGCAGCTAGGGTGTTCCATTCGTGGATCCGGTCATTATATAGCGCATCCCAACCCTCTACGCTCGTTGTGCGAATGTTGTACCACCGAGGTATAATCGGTGGCACCGGAAAATCGGTTGACATGTCTAGTCGGATGAAATGTCTGTATGACGACCCAAGAAACGCAATAGCTAGC